ATAAAAGTAAAAGAATTTTCACTTTTAAGTTTAATCCCCATGTCCCCCGTCCCGACCCCAACCCATCCATGTCAATTGTATCCCGCAAATTTAATAAACTTCAAAGTAAAAAATTATGATTTTAAAATAATTAAACTTGTGAGGTGCAATTAACATGAGTGAGAGAATGTATTAGGGTCAGAACTGGATGAGGGGTTTACCAGGAGTTAGAGGAAAAAGAAATCATTAATTTTATGAACAAAACATGGAAGACTGGTAGTAGCGGCCACTTAAAATCAGTGCCTAGCCGATATTAAAAAGGGAAAGATTTTGAGACTTAATTAATCAACTCATTTATTCAATTTTTTTTTTAAAAAGAAAGTGACTGATTGCATATTGCCCTATTGGGCCCATAATCCCCATATCTATAGATGAGCTTATGAGCTAAATTAACGACGAAACACTAAACACCCTTTCGAAGAAACTTCGAAGGGGCAAAATGAATAATTTTAGGGCCCAAAGAGGAATTAATGCACTTCAAATCAAACAAAAAATGGTTGGGAATTGGACACAGAACTTGCCAAACAAACTCTATCGGATTCTTTGTCTTTTTTGTCTCTTATTTCACCGGACCAGGGCCGGCCCCGAAAAATGAAAAAATAAAAATGGTCCGGTCCAAAATTTACATTTTGTGCCCTATTTTATATTTTTAGAAAACTTTTGCTTTAAAAATATTAACAAATTTAAAAATATGGTGCCCTAAATTTTAAGGTGTCCTGTGCGGTTGGCCACTTTGCACACCCTCCGGGCCTCCCATGCACCGGACGACACTCATATGTTTGGCTGCCGGTCCTTTCTTGTAATTTAGAGGTGTCATTTCTTAAGATGATGTTATGATCGTACTAGTTAGCTAATCTTTTAACAAGATGAAATCTGATATTCATGAAGAGTTTTACTACCTCCGTCCCAGAGTATTTGTCCACTTTCATTTTTACACACCATCCAATACACTTCTTTAATCCATTTTATCTTGTAATTTGTATATTAAAAAAATTATAGAAAATATATATTAATAATCTATATGTTAAGACAAATCAAACAAGATCACACATGACTATATTTAGGCTTACACATTGAGAGAATTTGATGAGCCAAAGTGCTTAGATGAACAGTTCCAAAAGTCAAAACTGGACGAATACTCCGGAACGGAGGGAGTATTTCTTAGGAGAGTTTTATTTTATTTAGACTCGTAGAGTTGTTGTAATTTTTGAGGTTGACACAAAATATGCTACTACTAACTGTACGAGATCAAAAGTTTGTGCACGAAAAATTAAGCTACGATCTGTAACTTTTGGAATCAGAGACTTATTGGAGCCGTAACTACATTTTGGGATTTATTTATAATAAATCCAGCTGGTATTTAAAACGCTTTAGGCTACTTGCGTATTAAGATCAAAGAAATTGTATTCAATGCACCTTCTACTAACTTATCCCTACTAAGATTGGGTTTGGAGATGCCTATAAAAATGTAGCAGATCCTGAGGAATTCATTGGAGCAATTGAGAGGGAAAAACGTAGAATATACGCTGATGTAAAGCATTTTCGTCGCGTCCCAGAATTTCCCTTGCGTGAAGAAAGTTACGATCTATATGAAGATGGAGACTATCAACAAAAAATAGATCGTGACATCTAAGAGTTGAACCAAAATTGAATGATTGGGCCGCCAACACGTTTGTTCTTGTGATCTCGCGGAGATGTGACAACCAAAGTGGATTTGTATAGGGCACGAGTTAGAAATTATAGATTAGAAGTTTTGTAATAACAATCCATAGAACTGTGTCTCATTATGTTGTTATGTACAGATGTAAACTGCATCTAGTAATTTTATGGAGGACTATTACACAGATGTAGGCCCCGCAAAGTAAGAGAGTTCTCTGAACTGCGTAAACATATCTGGTGTTCTTCTTTACTTTTTATAGCTACGACCATAGTTTTAAAAACCAGACCAGAGGCTGAACCGGTCAAAGCACTAGTTCATTGGTTTACTGGTCGAACTAGTGTTTCAAGTCGTTAAATCAGGGACTGGAAGGTGTTATAGCTAACTGTCTGTCAGCTATAAGCTATTACTGTGACGGTGCTGCATCACCTTGAGAGTTCAAATACAAGAAATATTCTAGGATAGGAGTAAAAAAACTTAAAAATACCAAAGTAGGAGTCTTATGTCTTTTGAGGCAAAAATAAGAGTATAAAGACAATGTGGTGTAAGAATACGTACACATTGACAATGTAATGAAAGCGTTATGACAGTGTAATATGTCAGTGTGATCAGTCAACCATTGGCGGTCTGCAGCGGCAATTTGTTAACTGGCGGCAGTAGATGACAGTGTGGCGGTGATAGTGTGGCAGTTAGAATATGGTGAGTGTGACAATGTAATAATGACAATGTGAACTTCTATTTAGATCTTAAAAACCTATGACTCATATTTTAGTATTTTCATATTTTTTACTGGAATTTGCTAGGTGTACCCCAAGATAGTGTACCCAAGTATCAACCACCTTCTTACAAACACATACTACAGACACCCATTCTCTGTGTGAAACATAGACAATGGGTATCAGTGTGTGTCCGTGTGAAGGTGGTGTACACTTGAGGTACATCACCTTGAGGTACACCTAGGTTTTTCTTTTTTACGGGTTGAGTGATCCCCGGGTGCCTGACTGATTCTAGGACCTTATGTACAACCATACTCGAACTTAAATTGCTCACATCTAAGCCCCCAATCTTAATCATTTAAACCCAAAAGTATCCTGTTAAGTCTCTAGTCAAAATATCATCTTTAATCATTTATCATCATATTAAATTTAATTATACAAATTAAAATAAGGCTACTGTCCAAAGTTCAAAGCTACTGGAGGAAGTACGGTCGATTGGTACATGCCATAGTCAACCGTTCCTACAACCTTCTGGAAACACTGTGATGGTGGACCGTGGACGACAACGGTTGACCGTTATGTCTTAGGATTTAAGTTGGGTTCGGGGTGAATAGTAACGAAGGTTAAAGCCTTGGTCCGTAGGGGACAATGGAGGACCGTTATGTTGAAACGGAGTTAAATCCTTCATCATGAACAATGTTGTCGGTCGATTTCGGTGGACCGTTCATACCGACGGTCCACATGGCAGATTTAGCTTCTTCATTCAGGCGGTCCACTAGGTGGACCGTTCCACTGGACAATCGACCGTATCGAGCCTAGTGGCCTACTGCGTTTTCGGGATGCGAGTTTCGAAGTCCATTTTTACTTAGTTAAAATATACTTTTCTCCATTTTTACCCACATAAGATATTAATAGAGTGATATAATATAAAATATCATAGTTTTAACGTAAGGTTCATGCGAGGGTTTATGTAAAGTATTTTCCAGATTTACTGTGATAATGATAATAACTATGAGACTACGTTCATGCATATAAATGATTCTACAAAATCTACGTCGAACATAAGTCTAGGGTACAAACCTTGATGTTCGTAAGAGAACACAAAGATTCTAACATCTCAATGTACAGTCAACAAACGGACGTCACTATCTACTTCTAGCTTTCGTTGTCTTGAGATCTTCTCTTCGAACCTAGAGTTTCCTTCCCAAAACTCCATTAATGGTAGAAGGAAGTTTCAAGGAGAAGAAGAAAACTTATAGGAATTTTCGTAGTATTTTTGGTGGTGAGATGAAGAGGATGGAGTCTCTTTTTATTTAAGAAACTTGCAGGGGTGTTTTCTCATCATTACCACCACACTTAACCATTCACAAGAGGCCATGGCCAAAATATTCTTACCATATTTATTTTGTTGACTTGATAGAGTTTGAATTGTTCGGATCAGTGATATGTAATATCTAAATCCAACCAAACCACTTCAAATTTTAATTTATCAAATTGGATTTGTATTTTCAAAATCTCATGGGAATATGAGTTTGGGATCGACTAAGAATTGAAGCCTCCAAGGAGGGCCATGCCCTATATATATATAGACCCCTTCATTCTCATGAAGGGGATCATACTTTAAGAACTTAATTGCTAACATATGGAGCTCTTTATCTACTCTTTTACTACGAATTGCTTCTCTAGCCACATGTGTAGTGGTAGATTCAACGTAAACACAAAGAGTCCAAGAGTACCTCACTTATGATAGATCACTTGGATTCGAGAGAGAGAGAGTTTGAAAAAGATTTATATGAAATAGTAATGAACGTGTGGAGAATGTTTGGCAATTCCTCCACGCAAGCATCCCCATAGGGCTCCAATTTGTTCTTGAGCCCAACTAGGATGGTTTTGTTCGCGTTCTTCACTTGATCATTTACTTGTAGGTATCCTACAAAGTTGTGTACAAGTGCTTACGCCCCAATCACTTAACAGCTCATTGAAGTCCCGCGCCTTAAATTGAGTATTAATGTACTATTGTCTAGACTATTTTTCATAGAATGTCAAATTGTATCAAGATATTCTTTCTCACAAACTTGATGTACTTTTTCCTCTGTTATATAGGCTAAGACTTTGGCCTCAACTCGCTTGATAAATAATCAATTTCCAATATAGAGTAGTTCACATGAAGTTCCCTAGTGCCCTTGCCAATGCTCTAACCAAGTCAATTCCCTATTAGACAAATGAGACGACAAAGATTATATGCATATAATTGGTTACTCATCGGATGAGTACAACTTGAGACTATTGAATTATGTTACAGAATGGAACTAGTTGTAAAGTATGAAATTGGTCTCATTTCATGAGTTTTCTTGTCTAATATTTTAATCTTTTGGATGAATTCTCTCCCTCCATTTCTCTAACAAATAGTATCAAAATCAACACAAAATGATGCTTTAATGGAGTAGTGGTGCGAATGGCTACCAATGTGGTTATGACCAACCATAACATTACCCCCTCCAATGTGGCATCCTTTGACCAAAGATTGCCAATTTGTTGTGTATCATACTAGCCAGTAGTCACAAATTCATCAACATGTTTCTTGGTATGGACCAAAACCGCTGGAATCATGCTCGCCCGTGCCCAGTACCCCCGCCATTGTTGAAAAAGGAAGTCAACAATGAGAAGTGAGGGAAACTGATTTCTTCTTGGAGTGAAATCTGCTTGCAGGCTAGAAAATGTGGAAGCTTTTCCTTCGTCCAAACAGACCCTTCTTCATTTCCGGACCCAAACCAAAGCTTATCTCTACTACCGTGCCCTCCAGTTGTACATTCAAGAATTCAGAGCACACCCAATCTGACGATGATGACGAAAATTTCATAGGAACCCTAAACGCCATTGTTAGGGGGAAGCAGAGCTGGAAAATCGCCCTTACCGACCCGCTCATTTCGACCCGGCTAAACCCGACCCACATCGAGCGGGTCCTTCTTCGTAACCTACACGACTCCAGGTTAGCTCTGCGCTTCTTCAATTTCTTGGGCCTTCACTTCGGCTTTCACCATTCCACCGCATCTTTCTGCATTCTGGTTCATGCTTTAGTACAGTCGAGTCATTTCTGGCCTGCTTGTTCGCTCTTGCAGACCCTTCTTCAGAGGGGACTGAACCCCAGATTAGTTTTCGATGAATTTGTTAATTCCTACAAAAGATCTGATTTTTCTTCCACTTCCGGGTTCGATTTGCTGATCCAGAGCTATGTTCAGAATAGGAAAGTAGTGGATGCTGTGTTGATTATGAGGCTGATGGGAGATTTAGGAATAATTCCCGAGGTTAGGACTTTGGGTTCTGTTTTCGGTGGAGTTATCCGAATTAGGCAATACAATTTGGCTATCAGTTTGTTTGAAGAGGTTGTGGGGTGGGGTGTTCGGCCAGATTGCTACGTGTACACAGCTGTGGTCAAGAGTTTTTGTGAGCTAAAGGATGTTAACAAGGCCAAGGAAATGGTGAAGCGTGCTGAGAAGAGTGGGTGCGAGTTGAATGTCTATATGTATAATACATTGATTCATGGGTTGTGCAAGTGTGGGGGTGTGGTGGAGGCCATTGAGGTGAAAAACTTGCTGGGTTGCAAGGGGTTGAAAGCTGATTTGGTCACATACCATACTCTGGTTCTTGGGTTCTGTAGAGTGAATGAATTCCATCTTGCTCAAGAATTGGTGGATGAGATGTTGGGGTTGGGCTTTATTCCGAGCGCGGGTGTTTTATCCACTGTGGCCGATGGGCTGAGGAGAAATGGGGATCTTAAGGCTTCGTTTGCCTTGGTTGTTCAGGGAATGAAGGTTGGCGTGGTGCCGGGTTTAGTTTCTTATACCGATTTAATGAATTCGTTATCTAAAGATGGGAAATTTGAAGAGGTAATGTTTCTTTGGGGGGGAATGAAAGCGAACGGGCTGTTACCAAATGGAATAACTTACTCGGTCATTATCGACACACTGTGCAAAAATGGGAAATTGGATACAGCGATTGAGGTCTTCAACGACATGCTTCGTTCCGGGACAGAACCATTTGTTTACCCTTACAACTCTCTGATCAATGGCTACTGCAAGGCAGGAAATTCTCGCGCAGGCCATTGTATGCTCAAGAAGATGTTTGATAGAGGAATCTACCCAACAGTCGTGACATATACATCATTAATAGATGGCTACTTCAAGGAAGGGGAGATTCACAAGGGGCTTAAACTTTTTTATGAGATGACAGGAAGAGGGATTTTGCCAAATACTTACACCTTCACGGCACTTATCTCTGGTCTTTGCAATGCCAATTTGCTTGTTGAAGCAACTAAAATGTTCAATGAGATGGTGTTTAGGTATAATGTCACTCCAAATGAGGTGACCTATAATGTCATGATTGAAGGGCATTGCAAAGCCGGAAACACTGCTAAGGCATTTGAGTTCTTTGGTGAGATGACAAAGAGGGGTCTCTCCCCTGATACGTACACATATAGGTCTCTAATAATGGGTCTTTGCTCTATAGGTAGAACAAATGAAGCAGAGAAGTTCATGGAAGAACTTAAAAAGGAAAGCCACAAATCAATCGTGATGTGCTTCTCTGCTCTTCTCCATGGTCTTTGCATGGAGGGAAGAGTCAAAGACGCATTGACTGCCATTGATGGGATGAAGATGGATGTCGTTTGTTACGGCGCGCTCATACACGGGGCATTGAAACACGACAAGAAACAACTAATGACCATATTGAAAAAGATGCACGAAGACGGTTTGAGCCCAGACAATGTGATTTACACCAACCTCATTGATGCATATGGGAAAGGAAGCAATCTCAAGAAGGCATTTGGCTGTTGGGACATAATGATGAGTGAAGGGAATGCTTCTCCTAATGTTCTAACCTACACCGTGTTGATAAACGGTTTGTGTAAGGCTGGATTAGTTAATAAAGCAGAGATCTTGTGCAAAGAGTTGATTTGTATTGGTTTGGTGCCAAATGGGTTCACTTTTTCTTGTTTTCTTGACCGCCTAACTAGAGACGGGTCAATGGAGAAGGCAGTGGAGTTGCATGACACCATGATGAAGGGCTTTCTTGGAAATGTTGTCACTTACAACATACTGATTCGGGGTTTTTGTGCATCGGGTGAAATGGACAAAGCCAACGAGACATTAGTTGAGATGGGCAAGAAAGGGATCATTCCAGACTGCGTTAGTTATTCCACTGTTATCCATGAGCTGTGTAGGAGGGGCGATTTGGAGGGTGCGATGAGGATGTGGGGTTCCATGGTTGGTGGTGGGGTGCAACCCGATCGGGTGGCTTATGATCTTTTAATATATTGGTGCTGTGTTGCTAGAAAACTGGATAAGGCGGCTGAATTGCGCGACGAGATGGTAAATAGAGGTCTAAAGCCCAATAAAAGAACACAAATTTTATTGGCACATTGAACATTTGCTTTTCTCACTATTGGATGCTACTGGTTCCAATGGTATGCTGCAGGCTTCTCTTTTTGTTTGTTTTTCTCACTATTGTTCTTTCTGTCTTATTATGTGTGATGTAGGCATCTCTTTGGTATGCTATCATTCTTAAGAAGAGTTCATTTCATTGTTTGTGTTAATGAAATTTCAGAAATTGTTCATAGTGCACAAGTGTTTCACATCAAGGGCCTGTTCTTTTCGATTGGAATTCTAAAGTTGGATGTTGGAAGAGACTGGAAGGAGTTGGAAAACGTTGGAAAACATAAAGTGTGAAAAAATCATTTTTTTTAAATGATCACCCAAATAAATATGTAAGAAAATTAGTTTTGGATGAAAAAAAGGAGATCATCTTTGTCAGTGTTTGAGGTGGTATGCTGTAAATTTGGATATGTGCTGTTAATGTACATTGGTCATATGTAGAGGGGACACGTAGTATGACGAAGCACGTGGCGGAAGAGGCAAAAGAGTTGGAATCAGAGAAGAAGCTTCTGGAAGCACGTCGTCTCGAGACGGGTGAATTCAAATGGAAGAACAAGGTTCAAGCAATTGCAGGTCAGAATGAACACATTTTATTACTGCATTCATTTAGGGTATACACGAAATTGACAAAATTGGAATTGAATTGAGAGTTGAAAATCTATTAAATTGATTTGGATGGAATTGAGTTCTCCAATTCCAATTCATTTTTGGCACTACTAATTCTAAATCCACATATTTTTGTGCTATCAAACAGCAGAATTGGAATGATTGTCCATAGTTTGAATTCTGTGTACCAAACGAAGCCTTTTTTATTGTATGTTCTAAAATCTAATACAAGCAATTGCAGGTCAGGATGAATTCGAATGAAGAAGCCTATCGATGAATTGGAATTGGGTTGGAATCAGAATCAGAGAAGAAGCACATCGTCTGAAGAATGAAGAGACTACGAATGATTTCAACAAATCGAAGAAGGTTCAAACAATTGCAGGTCAAAATATACACATTTAATTAGTGTATTCATTTATAATGTTCCATGAATACAATAATTAAATGTGGACAATATTTAAAGTGGTTTGGCACTTTGGCTACTCCGAACACCAGCAACGTGTGTTACAATTGTCTGTGTGTGTCTGTAAGATACTGGTGTACAAAGTCTATACCATAATCCAAGGTTGCAGTATTTAAAAAAAACTTATATGAAAAGGCCTTCTTTCATCTCAATTTATTCATTTCTCAAGTTGGATTTTTTTTTTCGATCTCCAACCTTTTATTTAATATTCCATTTGTTCCGAAATCTTTAAACTACTTTTAATGACAAATACATACTCAGATATAATTTTATTTTTTTGGTTTTGTACTTAAAATGGAAACAATGAAAAAATGTTGGCACAAAATTTAAAAGTTTGTGATAAAAAAGGTTTTGTTTTTGTTTTTGCTAGAAAAAAAAAGTTTTGTTAATTCACGTTGGAATAATGTGCCCTTTTTTTATCTGTCTTTTGATTCAAGATGATATCAAGATTATTTTGTAATAAGCTGTCCAGGTGGAAAAATAATATCTTTGATTGGATATTTCTCATAGTATGCTTATTGTATAACCTCGTTGTAGCTAATGCATTAATATTATGTTTGATTTGAGAAATTAGGAAGAAAAGAAAAAAGAATATGATTTTTCTCTTTTTTCTGACCAAAATGAAAGGAATCATATTTTCCCTCTTCTTAGTTTAGTTTAGCTTTACATTTTTTTTTTTGCCTGAAAATATGCACAAATATAACTCAAATAAATTGGTGTGGGGCTCACACAAACGGTGGATGAAGCATGTACTACGTAGTTTTTTTAAACATTAAAAACTCTATTACAACATAATATCTATTCATACATTATCAACCTATGAAAGCTTGTAGAGTTACTGTCTACACTAATGATCAAACATGTGATCTCTCATTTGAGGGAGTTACTGGTACTATTGGATGAGCATGTAGTTTAGTTCAATGCAAAGCAAAGAATTGTTTTGAGGATTTGTTCTCAAACATATATGATTGATTTTGATCTGATTCGATTAAATTATAATCTAATCTTATTATAGTTCTATTCACCTCTAATTCTAAAATAAAGAAATTGAAAAGATCAATTTCTAACCAAAACATTTTAAATCATATCAATGAGAATTTCTCATCTCAAATACTATCATAAAATTGAAACTACCAAGAAAGTCCTAGGGTCACCACATCAGAAAAATTGCCCTCATTTGTTGTCATGAACCTTGCCCTTGAGCAAAACAAATATACTTTTGTGCTTGAGTATTTTATTCAATTCTTATCTTTTGCAGTAAAAAAATTATAAACTTCAACCATTAATAAAAATAATCTTAGATATTGATAAAAAATAATTTTATTGAACTTATTTCATATACGTCTTTCATCCCGAAATTGATTTAATATTTTTGGGACTTACCTCACGATAATTTTTGTGTATTTATATATTTAATTGATTATTTCATTAAATAAAATATTATTATAATCTTTTATTTTGTAGTAGAATTTTTGATGTAATTTTTTAATATATAAATTTTATTAATTATTCTTATACTAGTAATTTTTAAATAAATTAACTTTTTAAAATGTGGAGTTTTAACTCGTAAATAGAAAATTGTTGTCTAATTTAGAACAGAAAGAGTGGTATTTTCAAAATATATGTTAATATAATAAATATAAAACTGAATAAATTACTCAAGGACAAAAGTAATAGTACGAAAATAGCATTTGCAATTCAAATTATAGAACGATTACATTTAATCCTTCTTTTTCTTTTAAGAGACAAAATATAAAAAGTGATTTTTTTTCTTTTGTAATTCAACTCAACTGTAAAAGAAAGAAGAAAAAAAGAGGACTTCTTGATTATAGCAGTAACTCCGGTAAAGGGCCATTAATTCAATATCATTGGACAAATTTCCCCAGGGTCCTTTTTGGCGCATTAGCTTGTTTGTTTGTTTAGTCCTCTCGCGTTTTAAGCTCGCCAACCCGTTCCCACTTCCAACTACATGCTCGAATATCCTACCGTAATTTTAAATTATGCCTTCTGATTCATGATATTTTATTAAAATTATTTTTAATTTATTTTATATGAAAAATGATGTAACATTGAAGTGCTGCTTTGAACTTATAAAAATTTGAATTCCTAGTTGAATATGGATAACAAACTAAATCGATCTCTTTTGCAGTCCCTGATGCCCATTTAAATAGGACTTTTTCAGAAGGAATAGGACTCTCAAAATCAACTAAGCCGCCTCTAAGAAAACCTTGACAAATTTGATCCTGAATAGAAAGAAAACGGGCGGGTTCTGATATGTGAACATAAAATATTTCACACCCTTTTTTTCTAGATTTAGAGTCGAAAGAATTCATTAATTCTACTCCATTCCTAAATGAGCTGGCCCCAAGCTCAAGACACAAGTCATTTTCATAAGCAACTATCTCTGTAGCACAAATGGAACTAACCAACATCAAATCCGAATCCCAAAAGTGGTACCATTTACCATTTAACCGATAACCAATAATATAAAGATCGGCACTCCGAATCAATAACTCACAATAGTGATATTCATACACAACCTTAACCAGAAAAAGAGGAAAACCCTGCCCCAAACTCAGTACCCTCTATTAAAGCCATGGACCTAATGAATCTCATTAAGTCATCAAATCTGTCTCTAATATCCCGACTTCTAGAAGTCTGGATATGCTAAGTTATCAAAAATTCGAATTCAAACTCAATTCTAGAAGTCTAGATATCAGAGACAGATTTGATGACTTAATGAGATTCACTAGGTTCATGGTTTCATTAAATGGTACTGAGTTCGGAGGAATCTTTGAGGCTATGTGTGTTCAGGGGTTTCCTTTTTTTACTGGTTAAAGTTGTGTATTGGGATCCGTATTGTGAGTTATTGATTCGGATGGCCGATCTTTATATTATTGGTTATTAGTTATCGGTTTAATGGTAAATGATACCACTTTTGGGATTCAAATTTGATGTTGGTTGGTTCCATTTGTGCTACAGAGATACTTGTTTATGAAAATTACTTGTGTTCTGAGCTTGGGCTAGCTCATTTAGGAATGGAGTGGAATTAATGAATTCTTCTGACTCTAAATCTAGAAAAAAGGAGTGTGAAATATTTTATGTTCACATATCAGAAATCGCCCGTTTTCTTCCTATTTAGGATTAAATTTATCAAGGTTTTTTTAGAGAGGGCTTAGTTGATTTTGATAGTCCTATTCCTTCCGAAAAAGCCCTATTTAAATGGGCAGCAGGGACTGCAGAAGAAATCGATTTAGTTTGTTATGCGTATTCAATTAGGAATCCAGATTTTTATAAGTTCAAAGCTGCATTAGACTATATTATTTTATTAAATAATTAATGAAAAAAAGTACTCTGTATATAAAGTTCAATTCAGTAATTAATAAAACAAACAATTTAATTTAAAATAAAGAGTATAAAACAAAAAATTTGCATAATCAATTTCTTTTAACATCGAAGTGAATATACAATAATGTTAGACTTTAATGCTACTTGAATACCAACATAGTGTACACCATTATTTTCAAAATGTCCATGTTTCAAGCCTTTTGAAAACAATGTACTTCACAAAATTCACATTTTGCAAAACATTATTTGTTACTCCATAAATGTGTAATGTACATTTTGTTGTCAAATTAAACAAATTTTGATCCCTAATTTAATATTCAATCACATATAAAAAAAAATCAATTCTTTGAAAGTACTTTACCAGATTAAAACTAATGATATAGTGTTAACTAATAATCCTAATTTAAATTAGTTGACATTTGATAATATCAAACCAACTCATACTAAGAGCACTGGTAATGGTCATGAAGCCCCGGGGCTTCAAACCGGAGCTTCAAACTTTCTCTCTCTGCCACATCAGCTTTAACTTACACCCAAAATTCACTGGAAATGGTTTTGAAGCCCCGGGGCTTCAAACTGGGGCTTCAAACCTTCATTTTTTTACATTTTTAAATATACATCTTCTAAATTTAAATTTATAATTTTAAATTAATTTATTATTTTATTTAATCGCAATGACACTATTGCATACTTCCTCCGTCCCACTATATTTGTCCACTTTCATTTTTGCACACCATCCAATACACTTCTTTAATCCATTTTATCTTGTAATTTGTATATTAAAAAATTATAGAAATTATATATTAATAATCTATATGTTAAGACAAATCAAACAAGATCACGCTTGACTATATTTAGGCTTACACATTGAGAGAATTTGATGAGTCAAAGTGCTTAGATGAACAGTTCCAAAAGTCAAAAGTGGACGAATATAGCGGAACGGAGGGAGTAAAAAAAATTAAATTCATTAATAAAAAATCTTTCATTCATAAAAAAAACATTAAAAAAAAATTACATTCATTAAAAAAAATTACATAAAAAAAACAACAGTACAAAGAAATCACTAATTATTCGAACGACTAAAGATATGCTCGATCAAATCCGCCGTTAGTGCATTGTGAATCTCTCGGCTTCGAATTTCTTGGCGGTTGCGTCGTTTCTTTTCTTCGGTGATTTCTTCGTACATAGGCACCTCGTCGTCCGAGTTGTATTGAGAAATCACAGACTCGTTATCCTCTATGATCATATTATGAAGAATAATGATCATATTATGAAGAATAATATATGCGTACATGATATTCCTCATTTTTGTCTGAGAATAACATTTCGACGGACGATCTAGAATGTGCCACTTAGCCTTCAAGACCCCAAAGGCTCGTTCAATATCTTTTCTCGCCGCCTCTTGAGCTTTTTTGTAGGTTTGGCGTTTAAGACCCTTTGGTTCGGAGAGAGATTTGACAATCGTGGAATAATCCGGATATATTCCATCAGCCAAATAATATCCACGCTTGTAAAGCATCCCTCCAAGCTCAAAAGAGGAGTCCGGTGCGGTCTCATTAACCCAATCATCAAAAACAGGCGATTGATCGAGAACGTTGATGTCGTTGTTCGAGCCCGCGACACCGAAAAAAGCATGCCAAATCCACAAGTCATTCGAAGCAACAGCTTCGAGCATGATGGTAGGCTTGGGATGATCTCCCCGGGAGAATTGACCGTGCCACGCAGTGGGACAATTTTTCCATTCCCA